GATATCAGTCGGTTCAATTCGTAATGCGCTGAACTAGCGAACGATCGCTGCACAATAGAATTCAGCGCTAGTTCACTGATCATCTCACACTCAACCAAACTCCATTCTATCCAGAAAAAAAATCAATCGATACTTACGATCATCAAAACTCGTCGAGTTCTTCATAGCCTGCTGTACATCCTGAAGTGGTTTTGATTCACGACGCATCACAACATGCCTGAAATTCACAATGAAGAATTATTCAAAATTTCCTACATAAAATTTCACTCTACTGGTATCTCGATGGGATTCTCCCTGAAAAATTGCATTCGCATATGACCCATGAGATATTGGCGAGCGCTCTTCTAGAATTGCAATTTGCAATAGTGATGAATGGCGGACTTATAAGGAGCTGCGAGCGTTATTTATCCTTTTCCACCCGACAACAACACCAGCAGAAAATATCCAAAACAAAAAAGGACCATCACACTCGTTGTAGGAATTCAGGAGTCAGGGATGAATTTTTCCGGATGAAAAGGAATATTTGTCATATCCAAATAGCCCTATGGGTCCCGTTAGGTACCAGCCTACAATTTTGCGCCAGCGCTATATTAACCTGCGATTTTTATGATGGCTTCACCGCTCATCTAATCGCAGGCTACTACAGCAACGACGCAAAATTGCAGACTGCCTCCCCTCGAGGCGTAAAAAGCACCAATTTTGAGAACATTTTCCGGAACTAGAGCTCAGAAGCCGTCTTGAAGACAACATTCCGGAATGCCCGGTGCCGATAGTTGAGAAGGGTATGAGCATAAGTACAAGTTTTAGCCCGGTCAAGCAGCGGTCATGGCCAAAGGATGATGGTAGCGCGGTTATGAAACAGTTACAGTCGTACAGATCAACATGGTTCAGGGAAAAATTATCCCTTTCTGACTTGCCGAATCAAATTCAAAAGTGCCCAGATAGCTGATACTGAAGGGACATTTCACGCTTGCCGGGAAGGCGGAACCAGGACTGCGATGTGTCTTTCTCAGTGGTGCAATTCTCTTGTATAAGACGACGAAGACCAGGGACGCGCCTACGAGGAAGATACAACGGAAGGTCCAGCCCCCGCCTAGACCGCTGAGAAAGGAATAAACATTCATAGAGAAACTGTACTTCCATCTGCATTGCCCCTGATTCGTGCAATGTGTGAGCTGAATGGCCCACAGGTACAGTAGAGTGTCACTTTTTCCGCTCAAAAGCGCACGGTAGCGGTACTGTAGGGTGTTTTTACCCGACTGACGCCTTTCTACTCCGCCCGCGCTATCCTCAAGGGCGCTAGCACTTGCGTCGATACCAAGATCCCAAGCGAAACAGCTTTCAACGGTAGGGAACAACCAGAAGTGAGACAGCGCAGTCAAGTAGCGCGGTTGGCTATGGTTAGGCGTGCGGCTGGCTCTGCGGGCGGAGCAGGGAGACCGGTGGTATCAGTACCCTCCAGCCCCGTTCCCGTACATTTTTCAGTGGAGAAAGTGGCACATTACTGTAGCTGCGGACCCTTTTATCTCACTTATGGCAAGGACCAGGATCCACGAGATGACTATACAGTTTGTCTCTCTCAAGGGCTGACTTATTCGGCGCTAATTTTAACTTTCACCAGGGAAAACCCCTCATTACAATAGCATAGGTGACCGTGAATTTGAAAGTAAGGTAGGGTGGAACCAGACGATGATGTCATGCGAACACTTTTATCAAAAAACAACCGACATTATGTACCATCAAAACAGAATAAAGTATGACATCACCAATCTGTATTTAAAATCATCACATGGTACTCATTTCCAAATATTAAACAGTATTCCTTGGTCTAATTAAGCGGACCACTTGCCCTCATTAACTATTTACCCACGTTTCCTCATCGGCTTGTTCCTATCGAGACATCAACACGATTGCTGATCGCACTGATTATTAGTCTTTCTCCTCAAGTTGTGCTAGATACGTTGACTCCGCGCTTTTTATTAATTCGTCGATGAAGTACTCGAGAATCTCTTTGCCCTATAAAACCTTCAATCATTCCTAAGGAACAATAGATTCTCCGAATCAGCACAATTCCTCTTCGAGAGATTTCAACAATGCACAACGGCTGAATATCGGTGTGTTTAAGACTATAGCGAAACGTTCCCTGACAACTAATTTATTTCTGTTTTTATAACCTACTAAGTTATCGCGCGGTTCGACGCAGGCGGAAGCTATCGCAATAATGCTGGGGATTCGGGTGAAAGCTTAACCGCAGCCCGGACTTGAACTTGCGCCTTTTCCTCACAGGGTGAGTGCGCTAGCCGCTACGCTACCAGAGCCGCTCCTTACCCTCTAAGCTTGAGTGCGCTTTATTCATATGCTAAAGAACGCCAACACATTCAAAGTGATGAGGCCCTTCTGGCATACCCAGCGAATGAACCGCAGGCTTCGCTTTTTGAGAAGCGAATTGGCACTCAAAAGCTGTCACTAGAACTGTCACTGCGCTACAATAGTCGAAACCAAAGCAGAATCGAATACCTGCCTAGCTTCAGCGGGTACGTGCGCTATACAGCAGGGGGGCAAAAAAAAAAGTCATTTTGCCTCCATGACTTTCAAGGCGCTATAAGTTACACTTTATTAAATTTTTATCGGACATTTTTACCAATATATTAAGAGGCACATTCAAATAGCTATAACATGCTCCGCCGCAGACCTTCGGAGGAGCGACCCTCGCAAGATCGGCCGTGCGAAGGTGAGTGATACGTCGATTTGAGCGAGAGTCGTTCATTTCTCGCGACCCTGATCGACCATAACTTGAGCTCCGCCCGAACTAGGTAATTGAGTGGGTTCAGGTCAGGGGACATATTTCAATATTACATCTTCATCAGGTACGAAACGCCCTTCCATTCGAAGTAGGCGGGAGTTTTTCCAAAACCCTTCGATTCCATGTGGTGGCACCCAAACCTGTAGCAGCACAAGGTCTCCAAGAAGGTACGGGCGACCACATGTAGGGATATATTCTTCTCGAGTTACTTGATGTAACCGCCAGCGCTCACCTTCAGTCGGGGTCTACAAAGAAAATATCGGTCTTCCCATTCCAGGTACGGCCGGTCCACACCATCAACCAGAGACCCGCGCCTTTGCGAAATGGGGGCTGCAAAGATGTCCTGACACGTTAAGCGACGTTGCGAGCTGCTCGATGTTGAAGTCTTGGAGATCAAGGATTGCCTGAGTCTCCAGGTAGCTATCCATGGGTGATTCCATTCAGAAGTTCCGCAGCTGTTTGGAGGCCACGTGAATTCCAAAGGCGTTCTCCACTCAGGCCGCGACTGGAGATGACTTCATATTTTGGTGCATATGAAGGTGAATGGCGGCAGCCGGCTCCTGCTTATAGAGGAAGATCTTGGGTATCTTCCGCCCTGGTACTCATATCCACTTCCTCTGTCTGGGCTGCGAAAACTTCGCTCATATGTGACTCGGCCGGAATGACTTTTTTGGCCCCCCCCCCTGTATATGCAATCCATAGGGTAAAGTTCCGTATAGTCGCGCAGCGTCCATAACAGCGTCAAATTCAGCGAGCAAAGTAGCGTCCGACGTGCCGCCAGCCTTTCACTAAACAACCGCAGCTAGAGAGTATTGGGGAGGAGGAGGACAGCAACAGCTGGATTAGGCGCCGTATTCGCAGCATGTGCCGACCGCACTGCACAACTGTTAAGGCACAGAATTATGCAAGTATTAACGGTTATTAGTAAAAGTTGTAAGAGTGCGGCGCACCGCGCCACAATTTCACGACGCTAATTCAGCTGTTCGCTACCCTCCTATATCCCCATACTCTCCATCTCCCGGTCGCTGGTGGACGCTGGCAGACGTCAGCAGACTATGGGAGACGCTGGCAAACACTAGATTTGACTATCATATAATTTCCTGTCAGTTGAACGCTGCCGGAACCACTTGGAACGGTTACGTGGTCGCATGAAGAACGCTATCCGGCAAAGATATGGAACGCAGCCTAAGAGAGCGCACTAGTGGCGTAACGGGGTTGCGAATTCACTCGGTATAAGTAAGTGGAAGGCGGGTTCGAGTCTCGCGTGGGGTCACAACTTTGCCCCTAGCTCAGCATACCAGCCTATTGCAAGCAAAACTGCGTAGCGATGAAACGCCCAAACGCGAACCAGTTTCGTCGCAATAAAAAACCTATATGTTATTGCAACAACAGTTGGCCGCTGGTTTACCTTTACGTTCAGAGCCCAATGTCCCCCTTTCGAGGGAGTCTCGGGTCACAAGCAGAAAAGATTGGTCAAATTTTTATGAACATAGCTGGCAACCGCATGAGTCCATATTTCATTATAGTTGCTTCAGAGCCTTAGAAGGGGGTCCCGCAAATGGTCCCTCATGTGAACCACCAATCACCAGCGCTTTTCGCATGAATTGCATACCTTCCGTAAACAATTCGACAGAGACATTGAAAACGACTACGAAACGAGTCCATTGTGTAACCCATCACCCGCTTGTGCTAGATACAGAGAGAAAACTAGGGCAACACAAGAGTTTTGATAACTACTTCTCAGTTCTGACTAGTAAGTATAAGAGGGAATATAAGAGAGCTGAATCCTATGTCAAGTGTAATCTTCAAATGTCGTAAATTAGAAAATATCCAGCTCACCTTAGCTAAATTAGCTGCATACTGCTTGACGGCTAGTTTTTCGACGGCTGTCTCAAAGCCGAAAAACGATTTCACGTCTAAAGCCGCATTCTGCTCGAAACATGTCCAGTTTGGATTTTCAGGATGGACCTAGAAAATGCTGGACCTAGAAAAATGCAAGTCCATCACTGAAATATTATTTAAGGGCACTGGGCACGACTGCTGGGGGCGGGCGATTGTCGCAAATGTCATTGGTGGAAGAGGCTGAGTGGGGTGTGGCCAAACGCCCTCTCGCAGCCCTTCCACCAATGACGCTGGCAACAACAGTCCGCCTCCAGCAATCGTGTCCTCTGCTTTTAAGCAAGTTCAGCACCCAAAAGTTCTCGCTTCGTTTTCCCATCCCATAACTTTGGTTATATGTATTGCCTCCAA